GGCAATGTTGCCATCCAAGCTGTGTGCGTGTGTGGGGTGGGTGGGTGGGTGAGTCATCTTCTGTAAGCTGTACCCTGAACATGGCTTCGATCGGAGTTATTACTCAGCACGCACCTATATTCGCGGAAGCCTGAATGCCCTTGACCGACTCCGCAAACCTTTGCACGAAAGCTGAGGTCTGCTTTTGAAAGTTCTGTAGGCTTATGTAGGCTTTTTGTGACACGAGCAATCAGTACCATGTCGCTGGAGCAGTAGCGTGGCCAGTTGATCCGAGTTTCCCTACATTCGCGAGATGGTACAGAGCTTAGTGCAGCCAGGCACAGGCCTTGTGCCGTCGCCCGACAAGGCGTGCAGCCAGAATCGCAGGCACTGCCTGACATGCGCTGCAGCGGGACCGCAGGCAGTGGGCTTCGCCTCCGGCGCCTCCTGCGTGGCTCCGAGCCTTTGGGAATCGGAGGCGCCGTGGGGGGCCGCCGTGGGGGCCGCCCAGTGGCCCAGAGCTGAGCATCACTCGCAAGGCTCAATGCGCAACGCCCGCTGAGCCCAGCCGCTTCGCGGCTGCCGTCGCGGCTCGTCGTGACACGTTCTCTTCGAAGTGTAAAATCATCTGCAGACACCTCTGCAGGTGCCACAGATGAGTGCACCCAGTGCCTCGAATTCAGTGACCAGCCCAGCTAACATGAGAGCGCATTCTGCACCACGTGTTTAATCGGAGAGTTCTTCGGCAGAGGTGCCTTCGCTGCCTATGGGGACGCCGCAGGACACCTCAGTTTGATCGTCAGGTGTAGATTTCCATGAGTCTCGCGATGTCTCGTGACTGTTTTCTTCACCTGAGCAGGCGTCAATCCTGGAGGTGCCGCACGCGGCACCAAGCGGAGATGGCCAAGGGCAAGGGTTCCAGCAGGCCGTCCAGCATGGCAGTGGCCTCGCAAGCTTGACATATTTTTACAGCTGGTGTCGATTTTGGGGCATCCAGGGCCCACCAGCTTGAGCTCTCCAATTCAGATTTGGAATTATGTCGCTGCCGATGTGTGCTGGCAGAGCATTTTTTCAGCCTGCCGGAAATTCGAACAACTTGGAGGCTCCTGGAGCTTTTGCAGAGGACTGGTGCATTTCCCTCCGTGTCCAGTGTCCGTTGTCAAGACTTTCTTCACCATGGGACAGCATGCCAATGCTGCCACGTTCTGCTCAGCCGTGTTACAGGACCCGGCATTGAATGGCTCGGCTCTGTCCATCCAACAGCAGATGCTGTATATGAAGCAGCAATCTCTCTCATTCAGGCTTGTGTTTGTAACAGGCTCTGTCGAATGCTTGCTTGCTGTATTCCCGGGTGTATCATAGTGAGTTGCAAGCTCCGATTCTGAGTCGCAGCTTCCAAGGTATCAGCAACTGTTGGTCAATGGATACGACGGAACGTTGCAGCCTGGGACGATCAGATTGGGTTCGAAGCCGCTTTTGCGTGTTTGTTCGCCACTTCAAGGGCCCAGCAGAGGTTCGGTGTCCAACAGTCAGTTCCGTTAATCTTTAAGCTTGCGTTCCGAAGTTTCGAGCTGCTCGATCCCGAAAGAACACAACTTAGCCCATCAAGAACGGAACATCAACGTATGTAGTGGGACACTACGAGCCACCAGCTTCCCACGTGCAGAGGCCAGCTACATCAGCTCCTTCGTGTCCTTCTTTAGCTTCCAGTCTGCCTGGCTTCCAGAGCACCATGGCCGTCATTCGAGCTCCTTGCCAATGGGGCCGACTAGGGCTAGCGTCTGGTACGTTGATACAAGCGGGTTGAAGGGAGCAGCGAGGGAGGGCTGTCTGCTGCTCGTTCCAGCAGTATCGAACGTCTTGCCCTGGCCCTGGCCTGCGGGGCAGAACAGCTCAGCTCTGTGAAGAAACACAGCAACGTTGGCTTGAAGGGGTCACAAACTTGGAGCCTACGGTTTTGGTCGTAGGGCAACGAGCTTCACTAGTTCTCACTACCGCTATTGGTGGACCATGTTGCGTTTAACAGTGGCTATGTTTTGAATGCCGGGAGATAAAAATCAATCGGTATGAGGGCCTGCCTTAGTAGTGTGATGCGTACGTCCTGTATCATGCAGGATTTTGCCATATTTTGCTATCAGGTCGATTGATTGCGCGGTAGAGCAGTCGGAATTCTGACCACAGCTGTAGTGTTTAGAGTCCCTTCGAGGTTGAGGCGAGTGAGTTTTACATGCTTTCAGTCGGTTTGCGCGGGGGGGGGGGGGGGGGGNNGCGTTCACTAGCACGGACTTCATGCCCATCAGAAAGACTTGAAAAAATGAGAGAAACGAGAGGCTTGCCTGATCTGCACCTCTTCGTCCGAACATAAGGAGCGGTGCCGTGACTAGCTCCGTGAGCCCCACAGAAAGAACATATGTGCAGACGAGGCCTCCCAAGCCGATCCCAGGTTTTTCAAAAGGCAAAAACCTACACGGCAAGAGTCCACGGTTTCTTGCAGGAGTCACTCTGTGCCAAAACACGAGTAGGACAGCGACACGATGTGTCTTGCCGCCATATTTGATGTGACAGCCCTCTTCTGAGCAACCCTGCTTCGATTACGTCGATCAAGCTTCGGATGCGAGCTAAGAGAGGAATCGACATGCGAAGGGAGTGGACGATCGACATTTGTTGTCAGCTGGCAGGAAGTTCCATCCACTGGCTTTGTCAAAAGATTTCAGACAGTTTGATAAACCCTTCATGTCAGCCTCGGGACCAACCTTGGAAGAGACAACTCCTCGCCAACATCAGGACTTTCCTTGCTGCCAGGCTCCATAGGTGGATATGCTAAATATCCCACCGAAGCCGACATGAATGCCACCGCTCCGGCTGTCTTGTTCTTCTCGGTCTGGGCACCTGATGTAGATTCCTCGCCCACCAGGACCAAAGAACCCGTGGGCGAAGGGGCATTTTCCTTCGATGGAGATCCTCAAACCAGAAAAACTGCAAAACCAGTCGCTCCGTAGATTCACGGCCTGAGCTCATTCACGGATCTGATACTAACGCAGACGTCGGTTCGCGAGGGCCCTGAGGTCCGGGGCACCCTGGGTCAGGTCGAACAGCAGCTGAAGGAATGAAAGCCGTCACAGACGCCACAGCAGACAAAGCTGAGAAGAAGGAGAAGCTATGGCAAGCGGGAAGCCCAAAATCTAGCTTCCCTGACGAGTTCCGGCAGGGCGGCCTGCATGAGACCGGACTTCTTGCTAGGCACGCTGCCGCTTCCCAGTAGGCTCTGGCAAAGGGCGAGTCCATCTGATGCCGGATTCTAGGTTCGGTGTCTTCGGAGAAAAACAAGAGAGGGGACGGGGGGGCAGGACCGGGCGGGAGGGCTTCGGCTTTCGGGGAGGCTTCGAAGCCGTCCCGAAGCTTCAGGGAGCAGCTCGCTGCATGCTTCATTGCACACCTGCGATGCACACACAACAGAGTCCGCACCCCGGTTTGGGTTGGAATTAGGGAAGAGGAGCAAGAGGCACCAAGGGAGCAGCCATTTTGTAACCGTTCACGGCTTGATGCCTTACATTTTTTTGAGGCAGGCACGCATACTTGCATACTGTACCGCTGCATACCCACAGTATCCAACATACGGTGGGCTGACCAAGGTACCCACCCTTGCCAGGACAGCAGAGTAAATGCACCCTCGCCATGGCCGCAATCAAACAGGCACCCGGCCCACACCAGAGCCGCCTGCCTCGATGCACAGCACATTTCGCACCCAAGTCGCGATAGACAAAAACAAGTCCGCCCTGGTGACGCCAGCAAAAGACATGCGCACCCGTACCACCACAGCAAGGGAAACACGACCGCAAACCCAAAACATGCATACCTTCGCATGACGGCGCATTCGGAAGAAGAGCACAGCGCGGTCTGCTTGTTAGACATTCCCAAGGCGCACACAAGATCTCTCCGGCCAAACTGTGAATTTTGAGGCGCGCCTTGCGCACATTATCTCTCGGCCACCTGTGTCTGTTGTCAATGTGGCATATGCCCAAAGCGTTCGCCTTTATGATTATCGGCATACATGCATGCAGTTTCTGTGTTTTGTGCATATGTCGCTGTCAGCGGAGATTCTTCGCCGCTTTCTGTGTTGCCCGCGTACCCTATTTCACCGTAATGAAACATGGGAGTCCATGCTATATACATGTCGTATGTATGTGTTCCAACACTTTTCGGGGCTTTGAATAGCGTAGGTGCCGTGTGGTTGGATGCCTGATGATGCAACGTGTTGAAGAAGGTGGGGTTACGCGCAGCCAGGTATGCAGTCCGGCAGAAGGGACTTTGAGAACCTCCTAGTTTTGGCAGCGCTTCCTTTGTGTTTGAAGGTGGATGGAAGGGGATGTGTGCACCTAAGGCAGCACAGTCGATGCCGGAAACGCTCTGGCCGAGCTCAACTCTTTGGAGGAGCGGGTGCGAGAAGCGGAGGACAAGGTGAAGCGAGCAGCCGCACAGTGGCCTGGCAGATCTCGAGAAAACAATCCCACCCCTAGCCACTACAATCAGGGCTTTGCGAAATCTCCCTTATTCTGAAATCACGAAGCGTTTGTTTTTTTCCTCGAACAGTCCATGTCGAGCTGAATGAGTTGGGAGGGCAATCGCAAAACCTGAAGCATGGCAGCATGTCGGTGATTCTGGATAGGCGGCTCCAGTACAGATTGCTCTGAAGCCGAAGCTGTTGGCCTATCCGTCCAAAGGCTGGTGCTGTAAAAAAACCGCAACAGTCTGATCCTAGCAGTACTTACGTAGAATATTGTAGCAGGCTTTAGCCGATTGCCTGTTTAAGCTTCTTGTGATTGCGCGCTGCAAGGTCTCATCATTATGTCGGCTTCATTTCCAAGTTTGACACACTGAAGGGCTATGGCTTTGTGTCGTGCTCGGAGACCTTCAAGCGATTCGGTCGAGACATTTTCATCGACAGGGAGTCATACCAGGCAGGATTGAAGCCAAAAGCAGGGAACCAATCGTGCCCCCAATCCCAATGCTGCAGTGTCAGGCGGTAGACTACAGAGACTCGCGATAGAGGTCAGGAAGTTTCAAGGCAAAAGGGAAAGCGTCAAAGAAGCGAGAACCAGCGCGGAAGGCACTGGCTTTTTGCTTTGTCGTGTTCGAACGATATCAGGTCGGGGCCCTTAATGCCAGCATATGATCGCAAACCGGCCAAGGCCCAAATTTGCTGCAAGGTCCACCAGTGGACATAGAATCACCTCAAGCACGAATCGCGGTCGGTTCCATGCTGTTTCATTTTGAGGTTCTCAGTTGCATTCTCCTCCATCTTCGACTCTCGTGAGTCTGAAGCACTTGCCAGCAACACTTGTGGCTGACTTCAGGATCTGAATCGCTTTGGGCTGATTCTATGGGATCACCCGAAGTCCCGATGTCTTGTATGTCTTGTTTATCAATGAGCCCGTGGTTGATGGACGGCAACTTGTGCGCCTACAGTCCTGCCTGATTCTGCCTGATCGATAGATTGTGTCGCTGGAAGGTCGGACGAATCGAAACGCAAAGCTCCATTGTTTCTCCGACCAGTGTCCCGTTAACACCCGTTCTAAAGCATTGCATGCCCCTGCATGTTCATCCCTCTCATCGCTGTCCAGGGCAGCACGTATCTCACTCGGGACCTCCTCGCTCAGCTGCCATGCTTCCACGCAAGCATGGCGCCTCGTGCCTTGCTGCTTTCTTGATTCCTTCTCACAAGGTCTTATGCATGGTAGCGTTGTTGCGGCTACGCTGTTGCATTATTTGCATTGTCGAAGCAGGGGGCCAGAATTGGCGACACCGTGGTTTTTTCTGTCGGCTTCAACAAGAAGGGCGAGGCCAGCAACCGCTTTTTCAAATGTATTCGAGTGCTGAAGCGATGACAGGTTCGCGCATGCGATGTACAAAAATTGAACGAGGTGACGAGACTGAAGCAGGAGCTGTTTCCTGCATTTTTGCCGAAAGTCACAAGAACCAATCAGAACACGACCAGACCTGTTTGTCCTCTCACTGTGGAGATGCGAGGAGTTGCAGCAAAAGAAGCAGGCGTACATGACCAGCGTTTCAAGGCAAGGGCTTGAAGTGTTTGCTGAAGACTTTCGTAGCATCACCTTGTTTTGATTATTTTGGACACCAAGCACGGGGAGTTTCAAGCGCGGCAGCCGACATTCCTTCGGGGTGCGCCTGTAATGCTCGTCCATCTTATCCATTGAAGCTTCGTTTTCCACTGCGCTCACTTCACGTGTGTCTTGCGGTGTTGCGCCTTTTGAAGGTGATGGATCTCTCCTTGTCTGCCTGTTTGCCTCCCTGCCTCTTTGCCTCTCTGCTTCTCCGCCCTCTGGCCTGAGCCCTCTGCCCACTGCCATGCCATGCCACGAAGTGCCGTGCCATGCCATGCATGCATGTATAGAATTTGTCCTCTGTGCCAGAGCAGAACTGCCCGCAAGGTCTGGGATGAATGTGCAGTCAGCGCTGGAACTTATTCAGGGTAAGAGCCTGCATCTCAGATTCGTGTGCAGCACATCATCTGGCCGTGGCCCCATCATAGAAGATCGTCCACTTCAAGTAGAAGCGACTGATCGTACCAGCAGGGCACTGTGCACGGAAGCCCGAACTGGCTCGCAAGATCCCTTGTTAGTTGGCGGTCAGCGTCACTTGGATTTCTGGCAGTCTCACCTTCGCCTGCCACGGAAGGCTTTCAACTGTCTTTCTGTCTTTATGGAAGTTCAATGGCAAACCTGAGGACCGGCTCCAGGAGAAATTACTGATGCGCCTAGCTTCAAGCGCTTTGCGACATAGTCGTGAAGTAGGCGTAGCAGCTCAAAGCTTCGCGATGCTTGGCAAAAGATACGAGCAAAGCGGTGGAATTTCATGATAATCTGCGTCTCACGCATAATCAACAGCGATCGAGTTCGCATCGTAGTTGGCCGGTCCGATGCTTGACAGCAACGTAAGGGTGCTAGTGACGTGCATCCCGTGTTTCACGTGACCTGGAGAACAGCGACAATGTTTTCGTGCTAGGGAGACGGCTCAGATCGTTGGGACTCCGGGAGGGTGCCGGCCGTGTGCGGGCGTTCGGTGTAGAAGATGGCCTTCGTGAAGGTGCTGAAGAACGCGGCGTACTTTAAGAGGTTTCAAGTTGCGAAGCGGCGCCGTCGAGAGGGCAAGACCGATTACCATGCAAGACGCAAGATGGTAAGGCAGGACAAGAACAAGTTCAACAATCGCAAGTATCGTTTGGTTGTCCGCTTCACAAACAAGCGTTGCATCTGCCAGTGTGCCTATGCCACTCTCCGTGGCGATGTTGTCGTTGCTGCTGCTTCATCCAACGAGCTCGCGCACTTCGGAATTGTAGCTGGGCACAAGAACTATGCAGCAGCATATGCTACAGGACTGCTTCTGGCACGCCGTGTGCTCAAGAAGTTTGGCTTGGATGAGAAGTTCAAGGGCAAGGAGGAGCTTGATGGTGAAGACTACCACATTGAGGATGAAGACAACGAGCAGCGACCTTTCAAGTGCATCCTGGATGTTGGAATTCGCCGCACCTGTGTCGGACACCGGATGTGGGGAGCTCTAAAGGGTGCCGTGGATGGCGGCTTGCACGTGCCGCACAGCACGAAGAACTTCCCCGGCTTCAAAGCAGCAGATGAGAAGGGTGGGGAGTCCGAGTATGACGCTGAAGCGCACAAAGAAAAGATCTTTGGGAATCATGCCTGGATCTCGGAATACACTAGCCTTCGCGTACTGTCTTGATTGCACTGTAGATCTCAGGTCAAGGAGTACATGGAGATGCTGCAGGAAGAAGATCCAACGAAGTACGAGGCGCACTTTGCCAAGTACATCGAAGCAGGCATCGATGCTGAGAAGATGGAGGACCACGTTCTTGTGTCTGATGGCGACTCTTTGCGACCAGTCTGCGACGTGTCTCCAGGACATGTACACAGAGGCTCACGAAAAGATCCGTGAGGATCCAGACGGTGAGAAGGCGGAGAAGAAGGACCGGAAGGGAGTGGAGTGGAGGTGTCACTCCAGCGACTTCTTTTGCAACGCGAGTCCCAGGCAATTTGTTGTGTGCAGGATATCACCTATGACAAAGATGGTGATACCATGAAGGTCTCCGCTAGCAGCAGCTTCGATATCTGGTGTCTTTGCACATGCCTGCCCTGTCACAGGCATCAGATGGCACGGAGCATACCCGCTTCCACAAAATCACATTGGATCAGCGACGTGCGAAGGTTCACGCCCGTCACAGTTCCAGTGAACGCTAGTTTCGCAGCTGGAAATTCAAGGTCGCTGCCAAGATCGCAGCCGCGCAGGTGGCCGCAGGGTGTTTCTAGAATTATTGAGCATTGGCTGCGGTGTTGTCATAAATTGGCGAATATTCGCAGGCGAAGATGATGGAAGAGTGATCGAGCACCAGCAACATGGAGTCCGCTGCGAACGGTGAGCAAAATCATGTCTCTGTGACACGTATCCAGTTGATTGAGTTCCAAAGACTTCAAGACTGCCCCTTGTTGGAGCCGTGTGGCTTCATGTCTCATGGTCACACCCGTCAGCATTGCAGCCATGTGCAACATGGCCAATCCCAGTCAACGTAGCAGGCAGCAGACCGCAGTCATGAAGCATTTGCTAGAGCATGCAACTGACATTTTTTCGCACTGCTGCAAAGTGCAGAAAGGGATTCTGTCACCTTCTGTAGCTTAAGGTTCTGCTTTAGACCGCATGGCTTGTGGCACATGACTGGGCAGCCAATACCACATCGAGAAGGCGATCTCTTGCGCTCCCCGCTTGATTCTGGAACACTGGCTGGCTGACCATCACAAGGTCTTTGATGACCCGGCAGGGTGATCTACCGGATTCAAAGGCTGCCGTGTTCCGCAGCTTGCACCATGCAGCACTTGTATGTGCAACTTGTATGCTGTTGGTTATTGACCGCACAGCACCGCCTGACAATTAGGAGGAGGTGGAGGCAGATGATGGCGAACAGAAGTTGCAACCTCAGGAGTATAGCCCAAGGATGACGACCGCTGTGAGTGCTGGTGTGCTCGAGGTGGAAGGTCGGTGATCGTGTGTATGCTGTTTGGGCGGGCAACAGCTGCTACTACGCGTGAATCTCAGCAAAACACCGCTGGCGGGTGCTGATTTCCGTTGACATATGGAGCAGTGCAAGCTTGCTGACGCTGGTGCGACTCAGGTTTGCACGATAGCAGAGGCGAGCTGCTGCTCTCATCTGCTCAGTACAATTGGATGGCAATGTGAAGATGCTGCTTGTAGTCTTACTCTGTTTTGGTACGTCCAGCATCGTTGTGCATCTTGAGGTGTTGAATGACAGTTTTGGTTTTGGGTTGGGAATAGTGTTGTTCGGACCACAACCGAGATTTTTAATGTAACAGCGGGTGGATTAAGAACACCGATTCGGAAAGCGGAAAGGACGTTCAGGGTTAGCGTTAGCATTCAAGGGATCAGTGATGATTAGTGATTAGTGTTTTACTTGTACGGTCTGCTGTAGGGTTTCTGGCTGAGTTTCTGGAGTTTGTTTCCATGGTTTTCCGAATTGAGTTTAAACTTTCGTGTTCTTGTATGCTCTTGTCATGGTAGTTAACATTGATATGCCTCGTGTAGTTAGCCTAGTTGTTTGATGGAATCTGTCTGGAATGGGCTCCATTCAGTGCCTGCAGGTGCGCGAACTGGACAGGAAGGTGGTCGTCACCTGGGACGATGTTACGTTCTTAGTGCGACAATGTCTTTCTGCAAGAATGTTGAAGCTTTGATGCTTGTTGAATCTTGTTGATGTCGAGCTCGGTTGAGGAGTTGAGTCACTTGAGTTTCCTTTAGACCCGAAGGGTCTGCGATGTGAGCTGCAGCGTTCTCTCACGTGCGACCTGGCTTCCAGCAAACAACTGGCCTGGCGGCTGTCGAGTGAGCTTTTTGATAGGCTGCTTTCGTCGTTATCGTGGTGCTCTCTCAAAGGGTTTGATCTCTGCCAAGGCGGACACGTCGCACCGCACAGTCAGCTTCGACCAGGTTCAGGGAACAAGTAAAGGCCGCGCATGATGCAAAGGCCGTTGACGTTGCGCCAGGTTATGCGTCCTTCTGACGAAACCACTGCCTGGAGCAAAGCAAGGCACGGCGAAGCACAGCGAAAGCGAAAACAATCGACTCTCCGGAGCTGTCGGTGCTCAGGATTGAGCGGCGGGCCACCGTCCGAGAAACGAAGCAAAAGGGACGGTGTCTTTTTACCAACGAGGCTGGTGCATGTCCATGCCTGCAGTGAGGCATTATGATGTACATGTGCATTTCCCCACATCTTTCCAAGCGAGGAAGTCTGACATAATTTGACCAAAGGCTTGGTGATTTTGGGGCCTTTGGGGCCTCAACGCGAATCCTTTCAGGGCCCCCCTCACCCTCGGGCCCCAACTCCGCCTCACATGGCCCGCGCCTTCCTCCACTAGATCACTAGTGGCTCTGCTGAAGCCGAAGCCTGTGACTCCGCTTCCACTTTGCGCCAGCAACGCATCGGAGGCCTGCGAGCCGGGCCAGGTGGTCTTTGTGGAAAGACCGCTCCTTGTGGCTCTGCCAGGCACGTCAGAGCCAGAAGAGTCTTGGTGTCACGTCTCTTCTCGGAAAGCTTTGAAACTCTTGATTGTACTGTCAGCTGTTGCGCCCAAGCTTTGGGAATGTCTTCAGAAGCTTCATGGAGCCATAGCCTCAGGAATGCAGGTGAGCACGATGATTTTGATGTGTCGTGAGTGCGAGCGAAGCTCCTGGTTGAGTTCTGGATGGATGTCCGCGGAAGCATCTCACGCCTCGCCTCCTTGTAGTCACATGGTTTTCAGAATTCTACAGACTTCTTACTGCATGCGTGTCAGTTTCATGTGCGCGAGTATACATAGTGAAACAACTTCACCTTCGGTTTCACGTAGCAAGAAATGCTACTGGAAAATGGACATGCCTGTTAGTGTCTGAGTGTTTGAGCGCAGTGAGCGTCTGAGTGTTGAAATGCATGTGAGCATCCGAGTGTCTGCGATGAGAGCGTCTGAGTGTTTGAGCATCTGAGAGTCTGAGTGTGTCAGTGTGTGAGGGTTTGAATGTCTGAGCTTCTGAGTGTATGACTGAGTGTTGGAGAGTCTGTGAGCGGCTGAGTGTTTGTGCGCGTCTGAGTGCCTTAGTGTCTAGGCGTCCGAGTGTCTGAGCTTCTGAGTCTTTGAGTGTCTGAGTTTGTGAGCGTCCGAGCCTGTGAGAGTCTGAGCGTGTTGAGTGTTTGAGTGTCTGCGCGTCTGAGTACGTCTGAGTGTGTGTGTGTGTGTTCGACTGATTCCAATATAGAAACCACCAACACGCCAATTGAAGTGGTCACATCGTTTACCGCAGAAGGTTGCATCTGTAGCAATGGTTTTTTGGAAGCCTTCTGGCAAGGGGTGCGCGGCGGAATTGTGTGGGTCTGAAATCCAGCCTTTGAATGACTACCAGATAGGAAATCAGACCTGCCCAATGGGGTCTACTATCTGCTTCAGGTCAGTCCCTACACAAACTGACGGGATCCTGTTAGAACCTGTCATGCAAACATCTAACGAGAAAAGGACGTACGGGTGTCAGTGCTGCGAGCAGTTGCGATACTTGTTGGACGACTGGACAATGATGGCATGCAGCATCATGCAGCACAGCAGCCCATGCTTGCTAGACCTGTGTGCAAGCGCCTTTGGAAGCGGCTGTTTTGAATGAACGATGCTCCGCCGTCGGCTGTTGCACACGTAGACGCGTGAACGGGTTCGCATCGACACATGCGATTAGTGTCGACTTTCGGAGATAGGCTGCGTTCGATATTTGCTTACACGGACAGCCAACTGATTTGTGAGTACATCAAGACTTGGCTGGGGAATGCAATTCCAATCGACGCTGGGGATGTAAATGCATTATACGGTATTTTGCCGACTCCCTGCGGTCTCAAGCGATGTTCAGATGCTCAGGCTCAGCCGCTAAACCTTGGAACCATCACGTTCCATTTCGCTGCACTGGTTTCAGTGCTAACACTTGTCACCCGCTGAGAACTTCGCTCGCCACAGCTTGCTCTTCCAACATGTGGTTCATGTGTTCATCCCAAGGATGCGGCTGACATCGGCATCATCCGGGACAAATATGTGCCTGACACGGATGAGGACTCTTGCCTGACAGCGGACAACGAGGGTGCATCATTCACATGAACTGCAGCAGCTGCAGTGGAGATCAAGGGTTATCAGGGTGGGCTTCGCGGACTTCAAATGTATGAGGTCTTTACACAAGCAGATGCTTTTGGGTGTCCCGACGTGTTGCACAAGTTGGGAAGTTACGCCAGGAACCCAATGAGGATGTGACTCGAATCCTGCAAGCACTGCAGGCAGGTGCCTGAGACGAGTTAGAAAGTGCAACGTGCAGCGAGTTGACAAGGCTGCTCCCACGGAATTAGCGTGTTCCCGCCTTGCTTGATCGTGATGGATGGCTTTGATGGCTGGGAGTTTGCCAGGAAGGAGCAGATGTCCAAGCTGGATGGCAAGAGCTTTCAAAGGCTTGTGTCAGCTTGGCGCTGCACCCTCGGACAGCGATACCCTACATTGTCGAATGCTTGAGTGCGTGGAATGCCTAGCTCTGCGACGTCCCAAAACCTGTCTTCTCAGGTTACAACTCCTTTGGACATCATAAAGAGGCTTCGCTGCTTCAATTCCGAAAATACATCTGGCATACCGTGCAATCGACGACTGAGGGTCAGCAGTTAGAATGAAGGTTGCCTGACACGCCGGAGCATGGGCACTTCGGTTTGATGAATCGCATGCAGGATGGCTTGGTGCTTTACAACCGAATTTCCATGTGCTAGGAACTCAGGCATGCTCAGCTCTACGCGGTCACTGTGGCTGTGCAAACGCCGCTACAGGTGCACATTCTTGTGATCCGACTTGTTGCCGTCGCCCGAGATGGTGTAGAAATAGTCGAAAGTATGCTGGCCACTGCATTCGCTGAATCCGCACTTGGAAAAGGCTGGTCCTATGGAGACGAAGATGCATTTGTACTTCGCAGCCGGCGCGGCACTGGGTTGCCGCGACACTGAGACATGGAAGAGCGCAGACCTTGCCGCGCAGAATGGCTTTGGACAAGGGCGACGAGCTCACGATCTCCTACCTGCAGGCAACAAGCTTGTCACATCTTTGTCGGTCACGCGGTCTTGAAAGTCTGCCGCTTTGCGAGGACGAGGACCTCCTCAAAAGCACGGCTGTTAGACAGCAGAAGCTCCAGAATTGGCATTTGTCCCAGAGCGTCATGAGATTTCTGCATATACTCGCCAAACTTGGCTTTGCACAGAAGACCGACTGCAATGGCTTTCGTTTCTGAGCTGTCATGATGTTCAGGAAGGAGCGTGTCTAACAACAATCCTTGGGTAAATGTCGGCTTCTATAGATCACTGTCGACTCACGGGAGTCACGCCGCCAGAGATCAAACACCCTTGGACATGGGCCTTACCCATCAGTCGCACCAACAAGTTTGTCATGAAAGCCCAGGTTGGACTAGCGACAGTAGCATCAGTGGCATCAGTTGCGGCAACCGGCACCATCAGAAGTACTGGCTAAGACGTTGCGTCAGCAAAGCCTGCTGCACCAGAATCACGAAACCCCGAAAACGACGACACAAAACCACCCCGCAACTGAATCCACCGGGTTGTCTACTACGCTCTGTTTACCGCCTTAGTCTGGCATTCTGAAGTTGAGGCCAGTTCATTTGCATGATCTATTGGATCGATCAACAAGCAGCTACCGCAGAAGAGCTAAACCGAGCACAGGACCAAACACAAAGAAATGCAGCGAAGGTGCATGCCCCATCTTGATTTTTCTTAAGGGGGTGTTCTTATTCAGCAACGGTGCATGTGCATGGTCCTTCTCGCTGCTGCACATCAGGGTTGTGTCCCTCGTTGCACACGTTTGACAAATTTCACTCGGCTTTGCATTCACGTGTATGTTTGTTGAGCTGGACTCACCGGCAAATCCCATTAACGGTTCCCGCATCCCAAGCAAAGCTCGTGCAGACAAGGAAGTTTCTCTGCATGTGTCGTTGCCTCAGCTTTGCATGCGTAGCGGCAGAGTCCATTATGCAGTTAGGTGATGAAAGCAGGATCAGTTTGGCATGCGCCGTAGGCCCGCGCTGCTCCCTCAAGACCGACGTGGATCTGACGACCTTGTTGGTTTTCTCAATGTCGATCCTGTGAGATCTGCTGCAGCTCTCCTGCTTGGCAGGTTGGCCGTGGCATACGTTGTCAACGTTGCCGAGTTGGGGTCCTGTACCCGCAGGCCAGCCGTCTTCGTGTCTGCGGGTGTGTGGCGGTGGGAAGGGTGTGGGAAGTGTTGGGAGGTCAGTAAGAACGTTCCTTCGTAAAATGCGTGAGCAAAAAATCCAGTTCTGGCATTGACGTGGTGGGGATGCCTTGGCCAGACGGGCAACCGCTAGCCGCTAGCACCGGGAACTCGATCCGCTCGGCGTGTCGCAGTGGCGGTGAGAGCGGCTTCCAGGTGCAGGCGTCGAGCACGATCTTCGAGCCCTGCAGGGTTTGTGGCAGCTCTCCTCCAGCAGAGGCCGCATGCTTTGGTCCTTGTGGGGAAGACCCGTCGGAGTTTGGACAGGACATCTCCATGCTCCTGCACATGGAAGAAGAGCGCGGCTCTCTGAAAACCCTTCTGCAGCTACACCCTTCGATCGGATTTTGTGGGATTCAGGTATGTTCAGAGAGTGGACTGCTTGGACAAGAAAGACCTGGAAGACGTGCAGCAAGTATACCAGGCATGCTGGAACCGGCCGGAGCGCATGAAAATAGAATCACAACGTTGAAAGGCTGCTCTCGACATCTTTGAGAACCATTGGATTCTTTATGACTGGACCTGAACTGCATGATTGACAGTTCTGCGCGGCGTGATCCTCCGATCATTCTACTGATCTGCACAGGTGATGGATACCATCCTTTGGGAAGGCCACCGCCAAAAAAATGTCATGGATGCCATGGAACATCAGTTAGGCTCCTGGTCCGTCTCCACTCTTCCTTCCCTTATCCATCAGAAATTGAGGCGCCGCCGGATTGACTTCCACCAGCACTACTACTTCAGGCATGAGAAACATCAGGCGTCAGACCGCTTCCCGCTTCGGATTCGGAAGGCCGACCTTCATCCTGGCATGGTGCCATGAGGTCGCACTTCGCTCAATGCCTTCAGTCTTTCGTTTGCCGTGCCTTCATTGGCCGCAGGAGCTGGGTGATTGCATGATGGCGCAGTTCCCGACACGAAAATGGCACATCACGCAGGAGCTCCTGCAACCTCAAGCATAATACGTGCCCACAGGGCCGCGGACATCAGCAGCGACAGCATGCATTTTTACATGTATGCATGCATGCATGTATGCATCTACGTATGTCTGTCTGTCTGTATGTATGTCACAGTATGTCTCTATGTAATGTATGTATGTATGTATGTATGTATGTATGTATGTATGTATGTATGTATGTATGTATGTAAGCAGAAACATACGAGCCCATCCATGCCAGAGTTGCTGGGAAGTGTTCCTGGCGTCCCCAGCATCCTGGGGCCCCGGCAGCACATAGAATCACCTCACGAAACAGCTGCCCCATTCTTGGTCAGGGTGCTCTGACGCTTACCCACACGTCCAGCAGATGCCCAGCAGTCTCCGCCTTGACTCTGACAGCCGCAGCCAAGCGGCGTCGGCAACAAGATTAAGTCGAAACTCCGACGTGCAAACCGCGCACCTTGGTCTGCGACAGCTACAGTACGTCGCGATCTTCTGCAGAAAGTCTAGATTGTAGAATTTTGAGCCCGCAGGAATTTCAGCGTGCCTACCAGATGCTTGCAGTCCTGCCGCATTCCTGATCTGCGGTGATTGGTGCAAGTGTTGGATTTCCTCACTGCACCCATCCGTACTAAGATGTGGGTCTACACATCAATACACGGCGAGCCCCTACAACAAGCTGTGGCAGGCTCGTAGCCATCGCAGATGCTTTTGGAGCAGGGTTTCACGAATCCGAAGCTGTTGGAGGTCACAAACGGAAATTCTACCAACTCAGCTAATACCAACGGCACTGCAGCAGGAAACTCAGAGAGAGAGAGAGAGAGAGAGAACGACCGACAGCAAGCAAGCAACAGATCTAGAGAGAGAGAGGCGAGAGCAAACGGTGCCCTTTCGCTGAAGAAGAGAGCCGTGCTCGAGCAAAACAGTGGTGCTCGAGTGGCCACTCCAAGGATGCAGTGGCTGAGTCCGCAAAGCTAGCTGGAGACCCAGTTCCGGACTGACAGGCTTGTCGCTGGGTCGCTCTGTTCGCGCTCCCGAGGCTTGAGGCACCCCCGTGATTGTCATGGCTGTTGGCGGAAGGATGGTTATCGACCAACGATGGCGAAGGAAAATGTGGCAAACCGATGCGCTTTGTATGATCAAGCTTCGTGTGGAAGGGAGGAGACACGCACCCGAAATGTACCGAGATGTAGCGACAATATCTGCGTGTGTCCGATCAGTGAGGGCGCCTATCTAGCCATCTTGGACAGCTGCTGAGCGTGTTTCCATCTAGCCTTCGCCAGTCGAGGCAATCGCCCGAGGATCCTATGTCGTAGTATACACTATATGGCTTGCTTATGTCACTTCTTGTTAGTGCGTGATCGTGGCTGTGGAGGAACGTTCCAACAGCGACGCCACCGTGTGAAGCAATCTGGTTCATGTTTACGATTCGGGCTTGGATGGCGAGCCCCCTACAAGCGTCGACGACATCCATCCACATCGGTGAGGTTTTCAGTTTTCTCCGAAGCATCCGTCCCTGCCGCAGCTGGGTTCAATCAGGTGGATCGTGGATCAAGACATGCGTCGTCAGGACATGTTGCATACGCTTACAAACTCCACTTCCTGCCTTTGCTATGAATTGTACGCTGGCTTTGCAGTGGCTGATGCCGGAACGCCTCACTTGCAAATCTTTCTGAGCCTTCAAGAGCTGTGACGTCTATATCCCAGTCTACACTACCGCTCGGCCTGAGACTGCCTGGCACCCAGACGTGCATCGCAAAAAGTATGTGGATCACAGACGTGCCACAATTCTGCCAATCAGATGATGGAGCCGCGACCACCCACCGGAGCCAGTGAAAGCAGCCGTTTCGTCCTTGCAAACTGCCACCGACAGACATGTGAAAAAACATGCATTTTACGGTACACATAACGTTATTGGCTGTGATCCCTTAGGGAGAAGTGGGCAGAGTGTCGGCAGCCGGCAGAGCGACGGCCCTAGTCGCTAGGCCGCAGGCTGACAGTCAGAAAATCTCTTCCGAGGCCGAAGAAGTGCCACGGTGAGTGTCCACTCCCGGGCATCGGAGGCGCCCGTGTCCATGCGCTGCTCTTGTCAAGCTGCGGCTGCCTCACCTGCACACAGCGACAAAAGCCGCACCTCGGACTCACACTGCAGAAGTGAGCGAATCGTTCCGCTCTGATCTGGAAGGTGCACCTACACAAAATAGCAGCAGGAGCAGGAGGAGGAGGAGTCGTAGTAGTGGTGGTAGTAGCAGTA